TCAATAAAATCGACGTGCGGCAACCGAGCGATCTCAGCCCGATATATATCGTCGAAAACGTACAGCGATTGGCCGATGATCTCATTGTCATTCGGGGAGACGATGAACTCAGTCTGGAAGCGCAGTATAACGCTACGCTCCTGTTCAAATCTCTTCTTCGGTCTAATTTGGCGACTCGACGTCTGCTGGAGGAACATCACTTGACGCGGACGGCATTCGATTGGGTCCTGGGAGAGATCGAGACCAAATTCAAGGCGTCTCTGGTCAACCCCGCCGAAATGTGCGGTATTCTTGCTGCGCAGTCCATCGGTGAACCGGCGACGCAGATGACACTGAATACTTTCCATTATGCCGGTGTTTCTGCCAAGAACGTCACACTCGGTGTACCACGTTTGAAGGAAATCATCAACGTTGCCGAGCGAATCAAGACGCCCACAAATCAGGTCTACGTGCATGAAACCATTTCCGAGGACCAGGTCAGAACCAAAAACCTTGCATCGCGGCTGGCTCATGTTACCATTCGAACCCTTACTTCGAAGGTGGAAATTCATTACGATCCCGAACCCGCGGATACATATATCGAAGAAGACAAGCACTTTGTTCGAGCAATGTGGGAAATGCCAGACGAGAAGAACGAAGCTGTCATGGATCGATTATCTCCTTGGGTACTGCGTTTGGTTCTGGACCGAGCGCGAATGCAGGACAAGGGGATCGAGATCGACGCGGTAGTCAACGCTATCAACTCGACATTCAACCAAGATACCACAGATGTTCATTGCTGTGCGCCGTCGCAGAACTCGAGGAATCTCGTAATTCGTGTCCGAACCGTGTACCAGCACAAGGAGGACGAAGATTATGCGGACGAGGAAGATGCAACTTTGCTCAAGCTTGAACAGGTCATTTTGGACAAGATCACCTTGGGCGGCATTCAGGGGATCCAGCGAGTCTTCATGAATCAGGGCAAGCGAACTGTCATCAACAAGAATGGAGACTTTGATATGGGTCGAAGGGAATGGTTCATCGAAACCGACGGTAGTAACTTCAAAGAAGTTTTGGCAGTTGACGGTGTGGACGCGGTCCGCACATACTCGAACAACAGTTTCGAGGTATTCCAGGTCTTGGGTATCGAGGCGGGTCGAGCGGCACTGCTCAAAGAATTGCGAAACGTTATCGAATTCGACGGTTCTTACGTCAACTATCGTCACTTGTGTCTCCTGTGCGACTTGATGACACAACGAGGTCGGCTCATGGCGATTACTCGACATGGTATCAATCGAACGGATTCTGGTCCTCTGGCCAAATCGTCCTTCGAAGAAACGGTCGAAATCCTTATGGATGCCGCTGCTGTAGGAGAAAAGGACGACTGTAAAGGTGTGGCAGAGAATGTCATGCTCGGTCAGGTGGCATCAATGGGTACCGGGGTGTTTGACGTCGCTTTGGACATGGATCTTTTGAAGGATGTCATTCCCGATGCTCGTGGTGACATTGCTCGATTCCAGATTCAGCATGCGGGTGCTATGACACCTGGAGGTGGTATGACGGTCGCCATGACACCATACGATTCCGGTAATTACTCGCCTGCAAACGGTCGTATCGACAATGCGTCGTTCTCTCCTATCGCTGCTGCCGGGGACCATTCAGGTTTCCAATTCGGCGAGCTTGGGTACGGTGTTTCTCCTGCGAATGGTTTGGGAGCAGCCACGCCTGGTGGTGGTTACAGTCCGACATCTCCGTCTTACAGTCGTAAGTGCTTCTATTGTATGCTTTATTCGCGAGTGAAGTGGGCTAAACCTATTCTATATCTGGCAGCTACATCCCCCTTCATCACCTCACCAGCTCATACAAGTCCTGCGTCGCCCGCATATGGTGGAGCTTCTCCTTGGGTTTCAGGTGGAATTGCCGGTGGTCCCACGTCACCCGCGTACAGGTCAGTACCCTTTCGAGCTAGAAACCGCGGAGATTCAACTAATAATCCATCTGTGAACAGTCCGCATAGTCCAAACTATGCATCGCCCACGTCTCCCGGTTTCTCTCCTGCTTCACCGATGGGATACTCGCCTGCGTCCCCGTCATTCTCGCCTGGCCAGTACTCTCCCGCGTCACCAAGCTATTCGCCTACATCGCCGCACGGAGCGTACTCTCCGACGAGCCCGGCTTTCTCACCTACCAGTCCTGCATTCTCACCAGCTAGTCCTGCCTTTTCGCCAGCGAGTCCTGCTTTCTCGCCTGCGAGCCCTGCATTCTCACCTGCTTCCCCTGCTTTCTCGCCCGCATCGCCGGCCTTCTCGCCTGCATCACCAGCGTTCTCGCCTGCAAGCCCGGCATTTAGCCCAGCTTCTCCTGCATACAGCCCTGCCAGTCCCGCGTACTCTACTGCAGCTGGTCAGGCGGCGGCAAACGCAGGAGCTTACTCTCCGGCAAGTCCTGCGTACTCGCCAGCGAGCCCAGTCTATTCCCCAGCCTCTCCGGCTTATGGACAACCGGGCGCCAACGGTCAAGGCCAGACTAGTCCGCGATGGGGCGGCTTCGGTGGTAACTCGCCAAGTCATACAAGGCGATAATCGCTTTGAGTCTGCTTTGGGAGTGTGGAAACGCAAGTGGCTTTTGGTTTTGTTATTGGTGTGTCATAAAAATTGTGGACGATCGCGGGTGATGAACACTTGCGTATCACGGGTGGAAAAGAAACAAGACTATAGCGTCTTGTCAAGCGCTGTACAACTAGCTTGTCTCCTTGTAACGGCTATCTTCGGATGGACAGTCCATGTTCTTCAGTGAATGGCGGATTGTCTTTTTGCTAGATGTCCGAGTTGTACCGAAAAACTTTGCATGTGTCCCAGTATTGATCTATTGGGATTATTGTTGATGACAAGAACGCCGTGCGCGGTACAGCGGACGATGTTATCTTACCTGCAAGCCCTTGGTTGGTCAAGGACTCCGATCGGGGCGCGCGAAGCGGTTGCGTCGACTGGTCGGGTGGCGTTGACATGTGTTATGAATCGCTAGTATGCGAAGATGACGAGTGGAAATGGGCGGAAGCGATGTCCACGAGTACTCTAGTCTGCCTATCCACGAGGTGAGCTTGACATTTCATCTAGTCTGGATGTCTTCGCTTCACTCCGGCTACGGGACCCCCAGTCTTTCCTGGAGCGGCATTCAGTGGCCTCGTTGAGTTGTTGTCGGCTGCATCGCCGATGACAGCGGTTTTGTTAGCATCCACTCCATCATCGGCTGAATTTGACAAGTCGACTGCTCTCGCGCGCTGCATCTTTTGAATCATGGAAACGATCTCATTCTCCCGCAGGCTGTCTGCCGGCTTCATGTATGGGACGTTGACCGAAGCTTCTTGCTGGTCACCTTCGTTTGGAGCGATTTTGACAGCTGAAAATGTGTTTCTGCCCTCGAGTTCTTCCCAGAGCGGGTATAAAGATATGATCTCCTGAACAATCGTGAGCATTGTCGGTATCGATATCGCAAAGTCGGCAAAGTAACCGGCTGCTTTTGCACGAATAATCAATCGGTCCATGGCGGAGCGATCTTCGCCGCTGGGTAGTTCCCTCATTGTGAGGCTTGTCCGGTCTAGAGATGATACTGTTTGACCACGGACTCGGAAGGGGTCGCGAGGGGATTTATCTTCCAAGCTGAAAGATAGATACAGAGCGGCGAGGGCGATGATGTATGGTGCGTAGAGAATGCTGAGATCAGTGCGATACGTGTCGTTGAGGATGAACCTGGAATGGTACATAGGGGTTGGCTTAGTTGTGATCCGCTCGTAGAAACACTTTGCAGACTCACCACGCCATCTGCAATATACTATCTTCTACGTCAGATCCAGGCTTCCCGCTGCCTCGCCCAAAAAGCCTGTCCAACTTCTCAATCTCCTTTGCCGCCGCATCCACTCCGACCACTGCATTGTCCATCTTTGCGGAACCGCCAGAAGATGGCTCTGCTGTATTTGTTGTCAAGCTCGAGTCGAGATGAAGCAGTTGAGATAATTCGATATCACGCTCGACATCATCTGGAAAGTCGCCGGCGTCGACGGCTTCCCGGCCACAGACGGCAGCAAGGGTTCGGTAAGGATGATAGACGATCAAGTCAAACTCCAGGTCTTCTAAAAGGTAGAATTCCATTTCCGCGAGATTGGTATAGTCTACTGGAAAGCCGCGGTAGTTGAATTCTGTTACCATCCTTCCGTATCAGTGTATATCAAGGCTACTCGGCTTGCTGTGCAAATGCTTACCAGAAAAAGTCGCTCTCGCTTCGCTCACAACACTTTTAATGTGTACCGGTGTTTCATCCACTTTTGCAGCAACGTAAACACAACAAGCTGCCACCATGAACGGATCCGTCTCGCATGTCGCATTCTTGGAGTAGAACCGTTTAAAGTAGACATTGGCGGTTGCAATCGGGATTTGACGAAGCATGAGCTTCTTGCCTAGGCGGTATATGAGGTTTGAAAAGAAAATGGACATTGTTGCGAGTTGCCGTGGTGTAGCATATTTAAGATCGGTTTGTTTTGCTTCGAGGAGGGCGTTCCTTGATACGAGCCAGTTGTTGCTGATCACATGCCATGATCGTTAGCGAGTATACGACGGGAGACGTTAGAACTTACTCACCAGTGGGTCGAATCCCAGAAATTACTGGAGGAAGATGGAAGTGAGTTTCCGCATATGAGTCGCAAGCTAACACGCATGCTTACCTAGCCATGTTTGAACTTGGCGGGCTGATGTCATACGCAGGTAGACTTTAAATGTCCTGAGGAACGAACAGATGCCCAGGGTCGATATTAACAGTGAATCATGGAGCCCTTTCCTATACCTCTATTGCATGGCTTTCAGCTCACGCATGGATAGATGAGCTCCTGCAAAGACATCAGAGGACATCGTCCTGGATAACAGTCAACGATAGATCAAGGATGAACGGCGATGTCGTACCGATCGCTCGCGCTCCCACAGACAAAAAATGACAATCATGGGTTTTTATGGAGTCCTGAATCATCAATCTCCTCATTCGTCTAGTGGCTAGGATGGGTGCCTCTCACGCACCAGGCCGGGGTTCAATTCCCCGATGGGGAACAATTGTTTTTGCGATTGTCAGGCCTTGTATTTCCTTTGCCTTAGTAAGGTTTGGGACTGGACCCGAACTATTTTTTGTGGCCGATTCGGTGCCATGGTACAGAATGCAACATACAACGATCAAGTGCGAATATTGTGAATGGTACACAACACGACCCACCGAGGAATAATGGACTTTAGCCATAGCTCATAAGAACTATACTGGCTGAGGTTTTCTCTAGGAAAGATATACACCATATCAGCGAGATAGGTTCGGACATCGCGACTAAGTTGCCACAATCAGTGAATAACAACTGCGATCACCAGGCAGGAAGGTACGTTGCGACGCAAGTGTTTCCACATGAGTGTATTCCGGCGGATGTCTGTGAAACCGCTTAATAGCAAAGCGTTTCACTCTGTGCTGTGTTCGAACAAATCACCAAGAGAGAGCCAACGCATCATTCCGGTTGCTTTATCCGAATTTCGCGATTGGCAACGGCTGGCGGATCAGTGATCAGGGTAGGATTAGATTTCCGCATTTTGGAACGTCAACGGGTACTCATTTCAGGGAACTCTATAGGATAGCGTTGAGTTACGAGCTTTCTTGCGTTCTGCTCATTGGCGTTATGAACACCGCATGGTCTGTGCTCCCGGGATTCACGGTCGTTGAATTGTCCCCGGCTGGATCATTTGGATCCAGGTGCACGTCAAACGGGTACCTTGCAAATCATTTGCCCTATATGAGCGGTAACATTTTAATTTCACACGGGCCTTCTGATGGACATACAAGCTAGTTCAAATGTTTATATCTCCAATGTTGATGTAACGCAATCGTCACTCTGCACCACTACTTGAGAAGCCCAGCACTGCGTACAGTTGTATTCGTATGTGGTACCTAGATGTCCAATGAAGGGGAAGGGTGGTTGTAGGTTTGTCATTTGCCTTTCGTAATTTATACCAGATGTAATGTCTACTACTTTTTCTAGGTCGCTGTCATGCGACGGAGAAAAGAGGACGGGGGATTGAAAAAGTCTGCGCAAGTCGATACCTGGCATTTGAGATATTGAACTGCATGAAAGCCGGAATAAGCCATCACTCGACATTACGAAACTGAGTCCGTGCCACCGGCGTCGACAAGAAGGTCGACTATTGAGGTCAGAATCTATGATCATCCGCGCTTACGTCAACCAGGAAGACATCCCTCTGTCAACGACGAAAGCGCAAGCCAACTTTTTGGGTAAGCGCCCGTGTTCGATCGAATAGGTGGTGGTTGAGACTGCTAAGGGTGTGGTTACTTTGAAACCGGTTCGTGACTGCTCCCAGCTTCCACGGCACCACGGACGGCACCTGTACGGAGAACGACTAGGTAGACCCATCGAAAAATTATGTCCCAACGACGCCAGCTCATTTCCCTGACCCGCTCCGTATCGCGGCACTGGGCTGCATCTACTCGAGCAGCATCAACCTCTGCTCAAGCATGGACTCGACCCATTGCCGAGGGTGTCAACCCCGCATACGACGCCGCTCTCGAACTCCTGGACGGTCATTCTCAAAAGCTTCACCAACGAGCAGAAGCATTGCGTTCTCAAACTGGACAAACGGATGCTGAAACGGCTGAGCTGCGACGGAGGGCCAAGAAATTAGAGGTGGAAGCGAGGATAATCGATCCGAGGTTGAGGTCGACATTTACGAATTTGCAGGAGATTGGGCAGGATGTAGAGGAAGGGGAAGCTGATGCGCTTAGGACACTAGCAGAGAGGAAATGGAGGAAAGAAGGCAAGCTGGATCGACTTGTACGTGGCTCTCCTCAAGCCAGTGTTTCGTGTCAACGCATTACTGAAGTGAGTTGGATCCGAAATACAGATGCAGCGTGTTATACAGATGAACGTTGTACCAGATCTTGTCCCACGGATCAACCCAACAATCGATCTTGCAGTCAGCTTTGGTGAATCACCAGCAACTACCGGCGGTGAACCAGGGGCTTTCCTATTACCATCTCAGGTTTGTCGATGCTGCGCAGATGATAGTTGTCGGTAGCAGCTGAACGTTCAATTTCCTGATGCGCTCAGACTACACAAGCACCGAGTATAACGTTGCAAGTATTCGAGAAGGATGCTCAGGAAAGCCTATATACCCTCGTCATGGTCGATCCTGGTACGTCAGACTGTTTTACCTTTGAAACTTATACGAATGTCGAATCAATACCTCTTGCCTGCAGATTTCCCTGATGCTATAAATCACACATTCAAGCAATACGCGCACTGGATCATGTAGGTGCACGCAGCACCACCTACTTGATTCCGCAATACTCATGCTTCTTCTCCCGTCCGATTTTACAGTCCCAACATCCCTATCACACCGCGTACAACCAGCCTCCCCACAGAAATCACAGCAACGCTACCTTACCAGCCTCCCCATCCCTCTCCTCAAACACCATACCACCGCTATACCCTCCTCCTCATCCGTCAGCCATCGTCAACGCCCTTGACACCAACGGTCCCAAAAGACCGGTCCAACTTTATTCTTCGTGACTGGCTGTCAGAGAACGGGTTCGGGAACCCTGCGGACGCTGTAAAGGGGATTCATATGTTCCGTGAGGGCGGGAAAGGGTTTGGTAGGGATTTCAGAGAGATCGCCAACGAGCACAAGAATGAGGTGGAGGCTGTGCGCAAGATTTATACCGAGGTTTTGGGTACGTTCTAGGATTTCTTTCCGTGGACGAAATGTGGTCGCTAATTCTTGACTCTTTGATGACTGGCAGGTGGTCCGATGCCTACATATGTCAAGGCCCCAAAGGATGTTCGTTACGGCAAGCCAACAAAGCGTTAATGCTTGCGGATGTAGTGGAGAGGACGTTGCATTATACGATATTATGATCAATCATTCAGTACATTATCGCCTTGTCTATATGCGGTACATCGTTCTATATCGACAGGAGAACTGGCTTGCAGCTGGGATCACGAAGAGGTTCATACTGGCAGACGACATCTCATCGACTAATAGACGCTTGTATCTGTTTCGCAATCACTTGTCTAAGCTCAGCAGAAGGCGTCCTACCAAGCTGTAGAGTCTATAAGCGAAAATCGAAACATGATGGTTCAGTATCTCTGTCCTTTATTACGGCACGAACGGCTTTCCCCCCCTGGACAACCTACCTTCTGATCACCCTTGAAGAATGCATAACCCGGTGTCTCAAGCACACCATATTTGACTGCCACCTCCTTACCCGAGGGCATATCCACATCAACCTCGACAAACGCGATATCTCCTCCGCTTGCAGCTCCTACACCATCCAAAGGCCCACGTCGTCTCCTCTTCTCCTCCTGCGCGATCCCTTCAAACACCTGCTGCACCTGCCGCGTCACGATATCGCTCTTTGAGGTAAACAACGCAAACGTCGCTGTGTGGGAATGCAGGGTCGATGTGAATGACGCGAGGTTGGTGCTGAATGTCAAGGGGGAGGTGGTGGAAGATGTGATACTTTGCTGTGGAGGCGTAGCTGTTCCGTTCCCATGCGACCGGTAAGAAGAAGCTTGTGCGGCGATGGAACCGAGGAGGGAGTTGGTCATGGGGCTCGTTTGCTGGCGGTCGGATCCCGTCGTCATGGCGTTCTGGATTGCTGCTGCTGCCGCTGCTGCCTGTGGGTTGAGTCCTTGCCTTGCTGGAGCGGCGCCGCCGGCGTTGGATGTGCCTGGTAGATTTGCGGCGCGGCCGAACATCTGGTCGATCTGCGGACGGAGAGATTGTCCGAATGGCGTTGACAGGAATTCACTTGGAAGGTCTAGAGTGGAAGACGAATACCCGGAGATGTGTGAGCAATGGTTATGTAGGTCGTATAGGTATGTACGCGCAAAGAAGGATACTACTCACTCGTGATCCATTCCGGGATTTCGTTACCCGTGAGGAACCCGACAACGTCCGCTGTGAATGAATTACAGTTGAAATCGAGTAAATGGTACTTGGAAGCCGTGTAAGAGGATCGTAGGTCGTCTAGGTATTCATCAAACATGTCTTCTGGGATCTCGGTAACTCCACAATCGATTTGGCGGACTGGTTGGCCGTGCTACAAGAGCCGACCCGGAGAGACATCAACTCACCACATGAGTAGAGAGTCACATCGAAGGACCTACATGTGTCTTTCCCGGGACTGACTCCAAGATTCCCTGACCGTAGTAAATTTCCCGTCCGTAGGCGACGACAGAGGTATGCCAGATGCCTTCGATGAATTTCCCGGTGAGCGGGAGACTGAGCTGTCGTGCTAAACCTCCGCTGAGGTCGTAGACATACAATAGGACTTTGGACATTGTGGCGGTGTTTGAATGAGGAGGTAAACGTTAGGAACACTACTACTGTCTTGCCTCCCCTTGTACTCGATTCCGGCTTCGTGACCTTTTTATAAAGTTCGCTCAGCTCGGTGGTGGGTGGTGCCTCCACTTTTTGCAACAACGCGTGCTAGTCGTCCTTCACTTTCAAAATATTGTCGGCTCATTACAATACAGTACGCTTCGTAACTGAAACGAACACAGCCTGAACGCACACCGTAAGGCATTTCATCCCCGTCACCACACAATGCGTCTCAACGAAAATACCGCAATCATTGGGGATAAAGTCGTCCTGGTTCCATATCGGTGAATAGCAAGTATTCCACCTAACCCTTGGCATACAAATGGCAGACAGTCGAGTTGGACAGCATTCGCTGATGAGTTCTTGCCATGTTTTATTCATATGATCCGCTTGCTCATTTAGGAAAGAGCATGTCCAGGTACGAACGATGGGTCGCCCTCTGTTTGTTGTTTCATTACACTCACTAACCCTCATGCTCTTCCCTGAACGCACCTCTTGCTTCAACCCTTTCCCCTTTCGGTACTAGACATACCACGAATGGATGAAGAGTCCCGAACTACTAGAAGCTACTGCTTCGGAACCATTGTCATTGGAAGAAGAGATGGAGATGCAACGTTCGTACATGACCCCCACGTCTCCGCTTGCGCGTAAACTGACGTGCCTCTGTCTTGGTCTTA